CTCAGCCATGGGTGGGGGGGGTCCCAGCACTCAGCCATGGTGGGGGGGGTCCCAGCACTCAGCTGGGGAGAGGTGTCTCCCGGCACTCAGCCAGATGTTTAGGTGCCCCGGCATTCAGTGAGGGCAGGTCTCAGCACTGGGGTGGGGCAGGGGGGTCCTTAGGTCACCGTGAATGAGTGCTGTCGATGTACTTATGGAGTTTACAATTCCGCAGAAATTCCCGAAGTCTCCTGTTTGCCCAGCCCTGGCTTTCCAGGTTCCTGTCTACTCTGGTGTCAGGGTTTCTTATGGGCTGGCCCAGATCTCTTGTGTAATAGTTGAAATTCATTTTCAGAGCACTTTGGCTCTGTGTGGCTAGAAGATAGGTGCGTGAGTGAGTGGGTGGGTGCCATCATGTCAGCTCCGACTCATGGCGACCTCATGTACAGCAGAACAAAATGTTGTCCGGTCCTGCGCCGTCCTCACGATGGCCGGCGTGTCTGAGTCCATGGTTGAGGCTCTTCACCGAGAGTCTCCCTCGCCGGCCCTCTGCATGTGGCTAGAGAGGACAGGGACGCTTGCGCTTACCGGGCGCCGACTTGTCGGATGCCGGGTTTGCTGGGTGCTCTCACCAAACCTCCCTTCATTTACCCTGGGAGTTGTGTGATTGCGCCCATTTCCCTAATGGGAGGAGGTACGTTGAAGCTCACAAAGCTGAGCCTCTTGCCCCAGCTGGTCGGCAGCAGAGCCAGGCGCCCAGCCGGCCCGCTCTCAGGGGTTCTGTGCTCTGTTTGCTCAGGATTTCCTTCTGCATTCATGGCTTTTGATCTGTTGGAATGTTGATGGTGCTTTAAGAATTCGAATCACCTGCTACATTGTCAGAGATTAGCTCTTAATCATGTGCTAAACACGTTTCCTGCTGTATTGTCCTTCTAATTAAAAAAGTATGCAGAACTTTACAGCGAGTAGCTTTGCGTCTGCCTGTGTCCCCTGAGAGTCCTGTTGGCTCACAGCCTCCTTCAGCTGGGGTTCTCCTGCAGGTGGGGGGGCGGCGTGCAGAGGCATGTCCGCCCTGGCCTTGCTTGGGGGGCTCAGGGCACGCAGGGTCGAGGCTCCAGCCCAGAAAGTCAGGCAGGCTGAACCCTGAGACACGTAAAACGTGATCGCTGGTCGTGATGCCCAGAAGCAAGAAGGGTGAACCGAAGCTTTGTAGGTTGGAGAAATGTTTTATTTCAGGCAATACCTTTATCATTTGGCGTCATCTTTAATTTTGCCTGTGGTTTTGTTTTGGTGTGGGTCTAACTTCTAAAAAAAATTGATGACGGGTTAGCACAACCCCGTGAGTTAATGACCCTTCCTTCCTCACTGGGTCAGGTTTTGGGTCTTTATGGGTCGTTGAGTCTATTTCTGAGCTCTCGGTTCCTATTCATCCCTCACGTGTCTGTTTTTGCCCAGTGCCTCCCTGGCCGGCTGGCTCTGTGGCTTCTGGGAGGGAGATATGTTCCTCCTTATCTGCTTTGCCTTCTTGGCAGGAGAGGCGGGCCAGCCTTCCTGAGGGAGCATGAGGGCCAGAGCTGAAACAGCACCCACCAGGAGTGCTCACGTCCCTGCCTCATGCCCTTCCAGTGCTTGATGAGAGCAGCTGGGGGGGCACAGGCCGGCGGGGCGGATAGAGCCCCTTGGGAAGGCCCCTCTGGGAAGGCCCTGCTGGCCTGTGCAGTCCTTTCTCCGTGCAGTGCTCCCAAGGCAGCGTGCTGGAGCCAGATTAGAACCACAAAGTCCTGTGGTTTACATTCTTATGTTCTGTGTGTCGGACTTCACAGACACCACCACACTTGTTCAGCTTTGAGCCTTAAATGAGAATAAAAGGTCTCATCCTGTGCAGGGTTCTCCATCTGCTGAGGGCTCTGCACCCCACCCAAGTCTACAGCTGGACTTCAGACGCGGTGCCTGGTGTGTGTGTGTGTGTGTGTGTGTGAGAGAGTGTGAGTGTGTGTGTGTGTGAGTGAGTGAGTGAGTGACTGTGTGGTGTGTGTCTATGGGTGTGTGTGTGGTGTGTCTGAGTGTGTGGTGTGTGTATATGGGTGTGGTGTGTGGTGTATGGTATGTGTGTGATATGTGTGGTATGTGTAGTGTGGTGTGTGTGTGATGTGCAGTGTGGTGTGGTATGTAGTATGTGATGTGTGTGTGGTATGTTGTGTGAGTGTGTGTGATGTGTGGTGTGGTATGTAGTATGATGTGTGGTGTGTGTGTGGTGTGTTCTGTGTGTGGTGTGTGGTGACGTGTGTGTGGTATGTGGTGGTGTGTGTGTGTGAGATGTTTGTGGTAGGCGTGTGTGTGTGTGGTGCGTGTGATGTGTGTGATGTGTGGTGTGGTATGTAGTATGATGTGTGGTGCGTGTGTGGTGTGTTCTATGTGTGGTGTGTGGTGATGTGTGGTGTGTGTGGTGTGTTCTGTGTGTGGTGTGTGTGTGGTGTGTTCTGTGTGTGGTGATGTGTATGTGGTGGTATGTGTGTGATGTGTGGTGTGGTGTGTTCTGTGTGTGGTGTATGGTGATGTGTGTGTGGTATGTGGTGTGTGTGTAGTGTGTGGTGACGTGTGTGTGGTGTATGGGGACGTGTGTGTGGTGTGTTCTGTGTGTGATGTGTGGTGTGGTGTGTGTGTGGTGTGTTCTGTGTGGTGACATGTGTGTGGTGTGTTCTGTGTGTGATGTGTGGTGTGTGTTCTGTGTGTGGTGTGTTCTGTATGTGGTGTATGCTGACGTGTGTGGTATGTGGTGTGTGTGTGGTGTGTTCTGTGTGTGATGTGTCGTGTGGTGTGTTCTGTGTGTGGTGTGTGTGGTGTGTTCTGTGTGTGGTGTGCTGTGTGTGGTGACGTGTGTGTGGTGTGTGGTGACGTGTGTGTGGTGACGTGTGTGGTGTGTGTGTATGGTGACGTGTGTGGTGTGGTGATGGGTGTGGTGTGGTGACGTGTGTGTAGTGTGTGGTGACGTGTGTGTGGTGATGGGTGTGGTGACGTGTGTGTAGTGTGTGGTGACCAGTGTGTGTGGTGATGTGTGTGGTGACGTGTGGTGACGTGTGTGTGATGTGTGGTGACGTGTGTGTCATGACGTGTGTGTGGTGTGTGGTGTGGTGTGTGGTGACGTGTGTGTGGTGACGTGCATGTGTGGTGATGTGTGTGTGGTGACGTGTGTGTGGTGGTGTGTGTGTGATGTTTGTGGTAGGTGTGTGTGTCACTTTGACTCCTGTCACTTTTTTAGGTCCTGGTCTTTCTTACCTTGTTGGTTGTCTTCCCTGAGCCAGCCTCCTGAGTAACCCTAAACTCCGCTACCAGTTGCTGTCGACTCTGACTCTTGGTGACCCCGTGTGTGTCAGTAGAACTGTGTTCCGTAGGGTTTTCAGTGGCTGATGTTTTGGAAGTAGATCTACAGGCTTTTCTTCTGAGGCACCTCTGGGTGGGCTTGAACCTCCAACTTTTCGGTTAGCAGCCAAGTGCGTTAGCCATTTGCATCCCCAGGGACTCCTGACATTAAGCTGTCCGAAACTAGATATGGCCCACTTTGGTGTCCCTAGACCGCAGCTTGGCTGCTAAGTAGCAGTATCATCTTGGATCTGTTGCTTAACCGCTCTGAGCCTCAGTTTCTTCTGTGGTAAAGGGGACCATGTGCCTATGCCCAGGGCTGGGTGCCCCTGACTAAGGATCTGTGAAGGGCTCAGCCAGCGGAGTGTGGTGGGGTGTCTCACTGCACGTGGACCATGTCATGTGTTGGTGTTGTTTCTGTCTTGATGACGACATCTTGAGTTTTATGCGTCTCGGAACAAGTAGAGCCTTGACTTCTGCGTGCATGATGATACACGTACTTTTGACAAAGGTGTTCTGTTTGTCATTCAGGAAAATCTCTCTCTGCCCTGCCCAGTCCATGCAGGTGTGTGGTGGTGTGTGGTATATAGTGGTATATGGTGCTGTGTGGTGTGTGTGTGGTGTGTGTGTGGTGTATGGTGGTATGTGGTGTGTGTATGGTGTATGGTAGTGTGGTGTGTGGTGGTATGTGGTGTGTGTGTGTATGGTGTATGGTAGTGTGGTGTATGGTGGTGTGTGGTGTATGTGTGGTGTGTGTGGTGTCTGGTGGTGTGTGGTGTCTGGTGGTGTGTGGTGTGTGTATGGTGGTGAGTGTATGGTGGTGTGTGGGGTGTGTGTGTGTACACACCTGTGAGCACCACAGGTGGGACGGTGGAGTGATGACAACTTTCACCTTAGATGTGCCCTTTGTTGCCTTCCTATTATTTTATATCTTGATGGTACATGTTAAAACTCTAACTTCTGGTGCTGAATCAAAAATTGGGTACGTAGGACTTTTTTCAAGGATTCCTCTATCTTACAGTTCTCTAGAGAAACAAAACCAGTGAGGTATATTTATATATAGAGATTTGCTTCAAGATATTAGCTCATGCAATTTTGGGGGCTGGCAAGTTCGAAATCTATAGGTCAGGCGACAGGCTTGAGACCCCTGCAGGCTGACAGGGTTGTAGGGGGCTGGTAGGTCGCAATATCTGCAGGTCGGGTGACTGGCAGGAGTGCAGAGTAAAGAGAGAGTTCTGCCAAATACCTATTCATAGCCTGAAGGCAGAACACACCCTAAGGAAACTCCCCTTTCAACTGATTATATTGTTAGATTTCGTTATTGAAGGTCATTATGTTACATGACATTACGTTACATTACATTACGTTATGGAAAGTGATTACATCACATTGCGTTGCATTACGTTATGTTACATTAGGTTATGTTACATTACGTTACATTATATTACATTACACTGTGTTAGATTACATTACGTTACGTTGTGGAACAACAGCTAGACAAGTGTTCGGCCAAACAACTGGGAATCGTAGCCTGGCCAAGTTGACACATGAAATTAACTATCACAGCCTCCTTTAATGGGGCCCCAGTATGCTTGCGTTAGTGGAGTGGCCTCTTGGGTTTCACGTACGCTGACGTCATTTCCTTGTTGGTGTTTTGCTAGTTTCTCCTTGGACCAAGATGACCGATGGAAACCTTTCCACCTCTACTAATGGCGTAGCCTTGATGGGCGTTCGGGATGGTCGGCTGGGAAGCCACCTCCCGAGCCTTCCAAGCTTGAACCTCAAGGCCTCCAGGTCCCTCTCACTGCCTGAGCATGGGCCCAAGCTGCCACTGGGCACTGCAGAAGACCAGCACAGCCTGGAGTCTGTGGACTCGGGCATCCCGACCCTCGAGATTGGCAACCCAGAGCCTGTGCCCTGCAGTGTGGCCCACACGCAGAGGAAGCCGTCCGAGCCAGAGGCCATCCCCGAGCGGGCTTCCCAGAGCGCCTGCCCCTTGCCATCCTGTGCCCTGCCGGCCCCCACCGGTGCTGAACGGGAGCAGGGTGTACGCAAGTCCTCCACGTTCCCCAGGACTGGCTATGATGCGGTGAGGCTCTGCAGCCCCACTGCCAGGGCCCTGAGCCGCAGCGATGCTGCCTCCGTCTGCAGCGTGTCCAGCCTTGGCACGGAGCTCTCTGCCACACTGTCCGTCAGCAATGAGGACCTTCTGGACCTTGTCACCAGCAGCTCCAGCGCCATTGTGGCCCTGGAGAATGACGATGACCCACCATTCACCGATGTCACCCTGGGCTCCACCAAGGAGGCCAGTGGCCCTGCCCAGCAGGATGGGGCAGAGGAACCCGAGGAGGGCAGCAAATCCGGACTTCTGGGACCACTCAGCCACTTCTTGGCAAGGTAATGCCTTTGTCTGTCTGGAGGAGCCAGGGTGTGCAGGAAGTCAGGCCAGGTACACAGTCTTTCTAAGGAAGCCTGTCTTGTCCAGAGCATGTCCTCTGTTTTCCTGCCTCGCTAACCAGGCTCTATCTACTCACATGACGCTGTAGTTCATTCCCTCACGGCCCCTCACTAACCAGGCTCTGTCTACTCACATGATGCTGTAGTTGACTCCCTCACGGCCCCTCACTAACCAGGCTCTGTCTACTCACGTGACACTGTAGTTCACTCCCTCACGGCCCCTCACTGACCAGGCTCTGTCTACTCACATGATGCTGTAGTTCACTCCCTCACGGCCCCTCACTAACCAGGCTCTGTCTACTCAAGTGACACTGTAGTTCACTCCCTCACGGCCCCTCACTAACCAGGC